TTTTTTTTTTGCTTTATTGCATAATTCCGTTCGAAATACATTATGGAAATGCATCAAAATTTTTCGAACTCAACCGATAATTTTAATTTATGTATATATATTTTATATTTTTAAAAAACATTGACTTACCACAATAAATAGGAAGGGCCTAAAAATCTCAATTGTTCATATCCGTAGGCATGTCGAGAATTAGATAATTTTAATGATAATTACGGAATGTTAAAGGGAGTAAAAGCAACCATCGAACATTTGCTTGAAGGCGGTATCATAGTTTGGGTGTTAACAGGTGATAAATTGGAAACTGCACAAAGTATCGGTTATTCATGTGGTCTAATTGATCCGCTCACACCTATTTTGGTGCACTTCAAATTATTCAATTATATTTGAAATTTTTATTTTTTAAAATTTTTATCTAATTTTAAATAAATTTTTGATGAGCAGAATTTTTTTTATTTGAATTTATCAAATATTAATTGAACGAAAGCTTTCTTCAAATGATAATTTTTTGCTATAAAATTTTTATCAATAATTTTGGTATTCTTATTAAAATGAGACACTTTTTTTGCTAATAAAAATTATTTTTTAAGTAATTGCTGCAAAAGCAATTTAATTTCACTATTTAGGTACTTGGGGAGAAAAAACCCGAAGAAACGGCCAGCAAAATTAATCTGTACCTTGATCATTTTGCAAATAAAGAAATTAAAATTTCATTAATTGTTAGTGGCGAGGTTTGTTATATTGTACATTACAGTTTACACCACAAGAATAGGAACAAAGCAAAGATTAAAAAATTTTACTCTTCAGCAAAAGTCAATCAATCGGAAATTTTTTCAACTTGAAATTGCAAGAAATTTTCTTCACAAAATTTGCCTTCTCCAAAATTAAATCCATTAATTGTGAAGTTAGTCTGTTTGTTCCAAAAGTGTTGCTATGCCTCAAAGCTTACAGCATCTTGGCTACGCTTTGAAGCTTACAAAATCTTGGTTATATCTTGAAGCTTACAGAGCCTTAGTTATGCCTTGAAGCTTACAGAACGTTGGCTGTGCCTTAAAGCTTACAGAATCTTGGCCATGCTTTGAAGCTTGCAGAATCTTGGCTATGTCTTGAAGCTTACAGAGTCTTAGCCATGCCTTGAAGAAGCAATATAAGATGCAATTTCTTCATTTGGCCTCATTATCCTCAACTTTAATATGCTGTCGATGTTCACCAGCGCAAAAAGCTGCTGTAGTAAAATTACTCAAAAACAGGTCTGATGGTACTGTGCTAGCAATTGGTGATGGTGCCAATGATGTAGCAATGATACAGGTAAGATTGAAATAGCTTAATTATTGGGATTCAAAAATAAGTTTCTAAAATTTTAAAAATCTATAATAATAAAGGTTAATAATTTATAATTGGGTAACTTACTTGATAATTTGTAATTTTACAGGCAGCTGATATTGGTGTTGGAATAAGCGGTGAAGAAGGTTTGCAAGCATCACTTGCAGCTGATTACTCAATCGCACAGGTATATCGTTCACTTTTTATTATGATTATTTTCTCTATCATGAATTTAGTTGCAATGATTAAGATAATTATTTCAAGTATTGCCATTAAATTATTATATAATAATATTTGAGAAGTATGTATGAAAAATATGAAAAATTCGATCCATATGCATTAAAATGATTCAAAAAAAGGAAATATTAATTTATGGAGAAATATTAATTTTAAAATTTAGGCTGATCCAGATGTAGTTTTAAATTGAAATTGAAACGAATTCCTAATCATTAATTGTACGTGCATTTTCAGTTTCGTTTCCTGGAACGCCTTATATTCATTCACGGTGCAATCAATTATCATCGTATTACAAAAACTATTTTATATTTCTTTTACAAAAATATCGTTCAAACTCTAACAATGGTAAGCTTTCCAGTTTATCTGTAAGAAATTCTAATCCAATCATCAAAATTAATTCTTTCTTTTCATTCTTATCAAAGCAGTAATGGAGTTATTTTTCTGGAGAAATTAATTAATATCTTAAATTTTGCAGTTCTTTTATGAATTCCATACATTATTTGCCGATTCGGCAGTAATGGACAGTTGGTCATTGGTAATGTTTAATATATTTTTTACTAGTTGGCCACCCTTGGCCATTGGTATTTGGGATCGATTGCTTCCATTTGAAATAATGATCGACTATCCAGCGCTTTATCATTTATCACAGAGTAGTGAGGGATTTTCGCTAAAAGTATCATTTTTCTATTCAAAATTTTAACTTTTTTTCTAGAGAAATCTATTCAAAATTCCGATTTTTCCAATATTTTACTCCCATTGAAATTTTCAGCTTCCATTAGACAATCTTGAATCATATATTCACTTGGACAGCTTTATCAGACTTCTTCCTAATTATTTGACTTAAATACTTGAAAAGTTCATTTGAAAAAAAAATATATATTCAGTATTTATTTTAGGCTTATTTTACATGGATATTGACTGGTCTGGTACATGCAACAGTAATTTCCATAACTGCATATCAGGCATTTAAAAACGGTAAGAGCTGAAAAGACATTTATTAAGGCTTTTTCAATTTATTTCGGTACTTGTTGAGTTACTTATTTACCTGTAATTTATAGTTTTATGACAATCACTTGAATAAATAAAAATTTATTGCAGATGTCCTATGGTATAATGGTCGTGTGGCTAATTATTACGTCATGGGAACAGTTATTAACATTGTACTTTTAGAAAAAATTTATTTTTAACCAAATAAAATGACGAGCATTTCGATAATTTGGAAAGAATTGATTAATGATTTTTCATTTGCTTTAGTTTAATCACATTGAATTAATTTAAATTTAAGTAACCGTAATTTTTTGATAATTTATTTATTTTTTTAATCAAATATTACAAAGATTGGAAGCAGTAATCAAAGATAATTGAAGAATTTTGAATTTTTTCTAGGCCATCGTAATTATTGTCAATTTGAAGGCTATTATAGAAACAGATTCTATCACCATTGTAAATTAAAATTTCTTATCATTACTTCATTTAATTTCGATTGTTCGTGAAAATTTTCACACTGTTTTTGTTAGAAAAAGATTTCAGTTTAGAATCTAAAAAACAATGATTAATTTTTCCATAAATTTTTCGATTGATTCTAAATTAAAGAACTTTAAAATTTAATGATTTCTTTTTCAAACAATTTATTGGTGATGAATTTTACTTGGCTAATTTTTGATCATTTCTAGATATCCTGGATAGCATTATTTGGTTCCATTATTATGCTATTCACTTTCTTTTTTTCATACAGTTTGACATCACCTGCTAGTCCAATTATCAAAGTTCAACCAGCCATGGCCGATACTATACTTCATGTGCTAACATCACCTGTCGCACTTACATATATTATATTTGTCATATTGGTATCGCTGTCATTCGATTTGCTAGTTAAATTGTACATTTTCAAAAATATATTAATTAATTTCAAATTTAGCTGTTGATATGAATCTTTTTATGCATTTAATCATTAACAGGCCTTCTTTTATTATATCTTCGGCGAAGGGTTTTTCTTAATTTCTACCTGCAAAATTGCACATCTGCTGAAAATAATCAAATTCAAACTTCCAAAAAAGAAAAAAAGTCAGTGGTGACAAATTAGATGATATGTCTGATGCAAATGTTTTTTTGTTTCAAAAAATTTTATTAAGAACATATATGAAGTAATAGTTTAAATAGTTCGCAAAAAAAAATGGAAAGAAATAGACAAAGGTAATTCTAGTAGAAAATATTAATTTTTGCTAATAGCATAAAAATATATCAGGAAAGTTTTATATTGCATTTTATTTTCATAAAATAATAAATTTTCGTTTAAATGAAATAACAAAGAGACAGATATAGTTAAATAATTTAAAAAAAAAATGGATAGACATTAAAATGTATTTGTTTCAGATTGCAACGATCTTTGTATCGAACTATTCGAGATGAAGTTGTTTCACGAGAATTTGATGTGAAACAATTCAATGATCTTTATTATCCACTTGTTAAAGTAAAACAAATTGTGGTTAAAGCATCCGAATCAGCTCTTAGTCTTGTAAATATACAAACTAAACAACGTTAGCTGTTTCGTTCTGCTTCTTATTTCAAAACTTTTTGAAATTAGAAAAGACATTTTTGGCTTTTCACATAATACTTTTGTTTTCCCACTTAGCATTCCAATTCATAAATCTTATATTTAAATATTTGGTTTGTTTTAATTTGAACAATTATCACTTTGAAATATCATGAAATCTTTGATAAATTTTGATTAAAAATTTAAATGTATATTTTAAAATGCTTCCAATAAAACTTTATACATTTATGCTGTAAATATTCTTAAGCAGCAATTTTCTTTCCACGTTAATTGTTGCTCAATTTTGCTCAATTTTTTTTCATAGTCTTAAGAAAACTTGATATCAGAACAGGTAGGATAACTTTATATTGTGAGAAATTGGAAAATATTAATTTCCTAATCAAATTGAAAATGATTTTTTTAAGGTGGTTATTCATTTTCTCAAGATGAAGGACCAGCTGTATCGCAAAGTGATGTTGTACGATTGTATGATTCTCGAGTGCCAAAAATATCCAGAAGCTCATCAAAACAGATGTAGAAATAGATTATCTGATTTAATTTAAATCCAAATTTAAATATGTAGAATTTTGATAACCAATTTTTTTAATATGTTCTCATTGTTTAACTGATTTAACGATGAATTTATTCATTAATACTTCCAATGTCTATTAAATGATGAAAATGCAAACATTGATATAATCACCAGTAGAGTTAAACTGCATGACTTAAATTGTAAAAACTGGAACAAATTACTTAGGTTTCAAACTTTTGACGAACTTTGGTCTTTTAACTTTATTATTTGCTTAACATTTTAAAATCTTCCCACTTGGTGATTCAATTTGAACTGGCAACCTAAATTAGTAAAACCGAGCTGTGAAGTTTTTGAATTCAATACTGATTTAACTTGAATCTAAACTCTTCAAGTTCAAATTTCAGTACGGGTAAAATTTTTAATTTCTTTGGTGATTCAATTTTGATTTTAATGCAATCAAAAATTAGGATGTTATTTCAACACACTACCATTTAAATTATCATTTACATTATCGCAATTATTCATTCATTCGTCTTTAATCATTTTCAATTTCAATTTTCTAGGAAAATTTTTTATTTCAAAATTGCTTACTTTAACTAAGAAAATTGGCTTTCTTTTTGTTGAAATCTCTCGTCGGAACATTGGAATGATCCTTGTATTTTGCGTGATATTATCAATCGATATTCTAATAAAGAAAAAAAGCGGTATTGTAATAGTCGATCAAATTATTGATTGAATTTCTCATTTTCTTTTTTTTTCTCTTAAAAATTAGCGTTAATTGGAATGAGATTTGTGATCTAAGAGAAAAATTCTTGATAGAATGAAGAATATGTAACAAGTAGAATTGCATGTATCACATTGTGTACGACTTCCATTACACGCTTAATTTCACATCAAATGCATATTTCATATTTTTGTGAATGGTTTTTTTCCATACTAAATTTGTCAATTGGTCATTTTGAAGAGTTGTATTATTGGTTATGATTGATTCAATAATAATTCGATCAATAAGGTAATCAATTCAGAATTCTACCTAATCATTGCTATATTTCTTACAAACCACTGTAAGATCACGTGCAAACATTGTTAATTAAAGTGACAACAAACACAATAAATCACATGCGTAAAACGACTTACATCCAAAAGCCAAGCATACACGTAACACGCGTTGATTGACAATATTTACGTGTCACATATAGTGCACGTATTGCTTGAGAAATAGCAAGCAGAAAGTTAAGCTGCAAACATCAAATAAATACACCACAGCGATTACTTGCCCTTGATATATTTGAATTGGCTTTTAAAAGGGGATGGGCCAGCGATTGTAGGCATTTTTTATATCGACTGGGAGTTGTGCTGGTTTTTTCTACAGGGTGCATTTTTGACATTTGTTCTGTGGTAATGCTAAATACGTTAAGAATTTACACTGTGATTCAAGTTTTGTTGTTTTATTTTTGGATAAAAGTTTAATTAACTCTATCAAATGTTTTCTGTTTGCTTCATGTTTTTTTTTTTCAATTTTTCTTCCTAACTCCCTACGATAATTTCATTTTTAATAGAATTATGATAATAATGTTATTGACAAATTATTCTTTCAATTACGATTTGAATGCGAAATTGGAATTTGTAATAATTTAATTCTTATTTTTAAGCAAGAAATATCTTTTTTTGCTCAATTTTGATTACGGAATTATTAAAAATTCAAAGATTAAATTGTTCGATGACCGGCGAGCAGTTATTGTCATCTCATTTTAATGATGTTTCACTGCCGTCATCTATACTCGAAAAGCAGTATGTTTATATTATGTACTCATGTGGAGAATAGCACAGCAGGATTTTTACTTTAGTGATTAATCGAGTGATTGTTCTAGTGAAGCAAATTTTTTGAGTAGTATATCAAATATGCTTAATTAGTCTCTGTTAGATAGTTTCTTATGTTTATCAAAAAAAAAAAATTATTAGTGTTAATCAAAAACATTCCATAAAAATAAGAGAACTTTTCTTATAAGGTTTATTTGCTAACTGTAGTAATCACATCTGTGATAGTGAACACATTTGTTTCACATAGTTATGTAAGCGTATTAACGAAATTTGAATTTGCAGTATATTGACTGGATCCGATTCAGTCGTTCAATTTTCTGGTGGCACACATATTGTGCTAAATGTAGACGGACAAGAAGATAAGCGTCCACGTGACCGTGACTCTTCGCGTGTTTATACGCGCGTTCTTAGTGAGTATAAATGGGCAAGCGAGGAATGTTACAATGGTCGGATACTGGCAGTTCATAAAAATTTGATCGCTTATCGACTGTTTAATGAAAGTACAGGTGAAGCAGTGCGAGTTCTGGAACGCACCACTTCCAAACGTCATCTTATAAAAGTATATATTTAAATTGTTATTATTTAATTGAATGAGAAAGAAAGATATCGATTGGGCAAAGGAAACAGGAAAAGATTCAGGAAGTAAAACAAAGGACAAAATCATGGCATAACTCTGTAAAAGAATGCTTTCATAGAGTTGTCTGTTTATTTCAGTTATTGGGGAGACTTTGTATTAAGACTCTTTAAGATGAATAATGATTATACTTATTGTTGATTCACGTCTTACAAGCAGTTAAATGCAATCGCAGAGCTTCATAAAAGAGATTGTGTTTCATAGGAAATTTTTTAATAGCTAAAAGGAACGTTACTTATCAATATGCTTATTTAGAGCAGAGCATCTCCATTTATATTATTCTTCATCAAACGGTAATCAGTTGGAAAGCAGTTGAAATTGATATTTCCAGCTGGATAGTTAATCACTGAGGTTTTTGCAGAGTTTCAAGCATCCAACTGCCGATTTACAGTGGGCTCATCACGCACCACTACTTGCCGTTATTGATGTTAATGCCAATCTTTATGCATACCATGTTGACAAAGACTGTATCGTGTAAGTAGGATATACTTGAAAAATAAAAGAAAAAATCCGAAAAACAGCTTAAAATTCTTGTTATTCTATTCATGGTTCCTAAAGCTATTATTTTAAGGCTGTGAAATTTTCTCTCAATTTTAATAATAGGAAAAATGGCTTTTAGGACAAAATATTTAAACATAATCCGAGAAGATAACGCTATTCCGATCAATGCTACTCCGCGGATTTCTTGGTGTCCTTATATACCGGAAGCTGATGAACCGCACGAAGAAATGCACATGATTGCTGTATATTATGTGAGTTTAATTCCACTTAGTTCTTTTGACTAAAAAGATGCCATCATACGCACATAGCTAGATTGGATATTCATATTCATACTTAGTGCTGCGACTATAATTACAAGTGATGAATTAATGGAGATAATTTAACGGCTCGTGCATCTCTTTCCTAAACTCATTGCTTAAATGGGAACTCACACGAAAACTCAAAGTCGGCCAAATAATTGGACCGTCAGAATGTAAAATTTAAAATAAAATCATCATATTGAATAGAATTATATCATTCATAACTCGAAAATCATAATATTGACAAACGAGAACAGTTAAGCATATGTTCATTTTTCTTTCCCAAGATTTAGATGTCTTAGTTTTAATTCAAAAAATTCCCGGATCAAATCCTTACTACTCTTTTAAAAAAAAATTTTATAGCGCAATAGGGTGGAATCGTTTTCACTAAGCATAATCAAATCGGAATTACATTGTGAAGAAGTAACTCTGGAACAGTGTGAAAAAATCAGTGATGCTGTGATGAAGCTACCAATTGAAAATCCAAATGCAGTTGGTCTTTTATTCATTTCGTTATATTAATAAATTATTTCTCTGATCCTTGGATCTCTGTTCACAACTTTATATGATCTGTATTATTTAGGAAGTACAAGCAGTCTGTTTGAGTCCAGATGCGACAGCTATTGCAGTAGCACTTAATTGTGGCACTGTGACATTTTTCATTATCGATGGTGAAGGCACAAAATTTGCTCATCGCTGGCAACCAGAACACGGTAGACATATTCAGGACCTTGTCTTCCTGGATAACATCACCGCATCAGACACACCGTATAATGCTTTTAGCTTTTATTTGACTTTTTTGCATTAGTTAACATAATACCGATAAAAATTATTGCTAAGATTATCACATTTATCTCAAATTTTCGTCACGTAACTATAATGGTCCTTTTTAGCACTTATTTCTTCTAATATTCTAATCATTGTCTGTAAGTACAAATGATACCATTCATGAATATGAACTCTAATTACCTAGATATAACCATAATACGATGAATTTCTGATTTTCTTAATGTTTTCTGATTTCAGTGAACAGTTCTGGAAATATGCTATAATTTCAACGGAAAATGGTAAACGGATCCAACTTTATGACACTGAAAACTGGCACTGTATCGCCCGTTTATTATTTGAACCATTAGATCAGTTAAGTAAATTAGCACTCAGCGTACATCCAACAGCGAAATTTATATTTCTCACCGATTATGATGCTGCAGTTCGTTCCTTCTCTTTTCTTAATTTTCAATAAATTTTGAAAAATACTGATCGCTTATTTAATTAGCGTCGCCCACTACCACTGATGTTAAATAACATTTAGATAAGAAGTTCCATTATTACATTATTGCATATTTGCCAAGATTCTGGAAAGTTTATACTTTGTCATTTAAAAGCTGGCACGAATTAAAGTGACTATAAGTAGTTCTGGTAGAGTAAATTATTATTAGTAAAATATTAGATTCAACAAAAATTGGAAACATGTATTGACGAAGAATCAAAATTTGTTTTTAGTGTAGAATTTCATCATTCAATGACTTTTTCAAATTTTGACTTCTGTTTCATTAGAAAAATTTATCTTTTGCAGAATATTTATTGCATCGAAGTTGCTTACATTATGAATATGCCACGCTTTGTTGCATGTACACAAATTACATTCTGTCATCCGCTTGTTAACGTTGTTCCAATATCAGTCCCCCAACAGGAGGATCATCATCAGGGTTACTGTTTTATTAATTTCAAAATTTAGTAACAAAATGAAATAAAGTTTGTCATTACAGTTGGGGAAGGACGATGTTGCAGAAGGAGTGTTGAAAAATGTTGGGTGAATAGAAGAACTAATTTTTAATATTGCATTGAAAGATAATAGTAACTTAGTCAGTTATATGTTCACGATTATCTGGTCTGGATCTTGTTGTAAAAGATTATCATCCCTTCATTAAAATTTTCGTAAGTTATACAAATCATTCTCACAATGGATTGTGAAAAAAAAATCTAAAATTTATTGCTATATATACCCGAAATTGCTGCGAGACAGGGATTCTAGATTATTTTAGTGAATTTGTGATGATTTGGGTTCCTTTCTTTTTAAACTTTTGATATGCATTTTAGATTTTTCCTTAAGCGATGAGGAAATTTCTTCTGCTGATATTCTTGTTTCGTTTGTGGCTCTCTCTCAACGATCACTGCTTCACTTAGAGGTTGGTCTAGAAAGATCCCATGTGGCAAATGGTGATGTTGGTGGTGGAGATCGTGATGAAGATAACAACGAACATATTATTTCTACTTTAAACACAGATGTTGCAGATGATGGGTATCTTTTCTCATGAATCCCGATATTCTCAATTTTTGTAAAATTTCAAACTATAATCGGTTTTTAGAATTCATTTTAAGCTCATGGTTTCTGGTGAATCACAGGCAGATGATTATCCACTCAGTCAATTAACTACATGTTCTTTCTTTGCAGTTGTTTTCCATTTTAATATATTTATGATTCAGTGATATAGAACTTTTAAAGAAGATTTTTTCAGGAATAATATAGCGAATGGTGATAAAATACAGCAAAAATCAGAAAATCTGGATCGTTTAGAGGCTTTATGTCATCATTGGGAAGGTTTAAGTATAAGTTTGGAGAAACAAGCAGAAGATTTCGAAAGACGATTACAAGACGAAAGAGATAGGACAGATGCTCAAATGCGACAACTGCGTAAGTATTACTGTTTCGAATGGTTTGTTACTACAATTTACCTCTTAAAAACCGATTATTTTGAGAATTTTTTTTTCTTTAGATAATTTTATTTCGGTTGATTCTTTTCTTGATTATGTATTTTTTTAAGCTGTATTTGATGCTTCTGGAAGCGTATTTGAGATATTATCTGTTGGTTGTTATTGTTTAATTACTATAAATTATTCAAAATGGTTGTAGTGATATAAACTATAAGATGATGGAGCGAAGTGCTACTATTTAAAATTCTTTTTTTTCGATATCAAATCATCTTACTAACTTTGATTTAGTTGATTTGCACTCATCGTTGTTTTAGTGAAATGATTAGAAATGAAACATTAAGTGCAATAATATTTGAAGGAAATTATTTCTGATAACTTTTCGAAAGTTGACAGAATGAAGAAGTGAAAGGGATCCTTCTTAGCTTTTTAGCTCTAAACATCCAGAATCGGGTGAAGTTCCTTAATCAAAACTTGAATTACTACTTTTACTTTTAGGATATCTGATTATTGTTATTATTACCATCATTATTGTTATGATTATTTTTATTATCTTCTTGATGATGATCATTAATATTATTATGATAATTTTATGATTTTTCTCATTTTTTTCATTTTTCTCATTATTATTAGTGTGACACGTTGTTTCCACAGTGCTATGAGATGAACTCTCTGGTTTAGGAAGAGAAGGGTACGTGGTGGTTCTTACTAACAACTTTATTTTAATACAACTTTTTTCTTACATGAATTAGCTAAACTTTTTTTGCTCTGTATTAGCTTAGTTTTCACTCACTCATCCACTTTGCCAATGATCTTTTTCCGAAAAGAGAGTTGAACCAATTCATTGTATATCAGAACTGGCTAATATTTTATGCAATGAGGCACTATGATCCATTGTGTAATTGCTTTACTTTAAATAAATTTGTAGACGAATGGCCAAAGCTTTTTTCTTTGTCGGGAGAAAAGAATTAGATAGTGGAAAGTGAAAGATGGCGGTTTAACTTAAGAATGAGTATGAGGAGAGAAAAGTATTGGAAGTATCTTTCAAAATATTATTCGTTGATTAATAGGTGAAATTTTGAATTATTTCATGACTCTCATTTTATAATTTTTTTTTCATTTCGTTTAGGCGAAGACATCGTATCATGTGATGAGAGACTGTTTCTGAAGCTGGAATCTTTGATCAATGAAAATAGAACATCAACAGTAGAAGCAATGCAAACCTCACTAGATCTTAAAATGGACAGCGTTATCCAAAATCTTCGGGCAACAGCTGTTGATCATTTTAAGGTTGAATTTTACAATCTTTTCTGTGGATGATTAGTTGTGTTTAATTTGAGAAAACACTACATATTCTGATAAAAAAATTGAATAGTTAAAATTTAGGGATTTCCACGCTTTTTTTCTTTTTCTCGTTCCACAAATTTTCAAAGTCCCAGAAGAATGAGCAAATAATATTTATTTTAGCAACAGCAAAACATGGATTTACACGTTATTCGAGAAGAGCTTACTAGCAATATACGAGAGGTATTAATGGCTAGTATGATACCAATTTTACAAGATATCTGTGTATCGCTATTCCAACAGCTTAATGAAAACTTCCGCGCCGGTTTGGAGCAGTATATGAAGCAAATGCACACACTCTGCACTAATGCTTTAAGAACAAGTCAAGCAGTCACCGCTCCGCTGATGACGAGCAATTCGTCTCCTACCGATCCATCAGCTCTTATCAGCCTTATTGAGGACCAACGTATCACTGTAGCATTTGAAAAAGTTGGTTTAATTTTTCTTCATATTTTCTGAGATCAATTCTTGCAGCTCTATATGTTATTTGCCTAAAATAATTTCATACAGTTCAGCACCAAGAACCAAAAGTTTTGACAGTTTAGCTGAATTATCCGTTTTACATATATAAATTCGTCTATTTTTATATGAAGCACCGTGGGAAATGAGCGTACCATTAGCGTACTATTACCATCTTTGAAATTTATTAAATACCTGGAAATAAATTGATTTTGCAATTCTAAAAATTTTATGTACTCTTCAAAAAAAAATTTTTTTTATATTTTTTGTGTATTTCCAAAAATTTTGCAGGCAATGATACTAAATGATTACGGAGCTTTAATGTTTGTTTGTAACAATGTTGATCCGGATATAATTGCTAATGGCGAGCAGTCTATTCCGCAAAATGTTTTGCTATGTCTATTGAATCAGCTGGCAACAAAACTGGAGGGAGAAACGGATCTCAAATTTAGGTGGAAATTTGTTTTTCCGTATAAAAACATTTCTTCGTTTTTATGCATAGAAAATAGAAGTCAACGTTGACCGTGCTAATAATTTCAGATGGATGCTTTGTTGAGTTTCTTCTTTAAAATTTAGTCACTAATTATGTGTTGAACGAGACCATAGAAATAATTCTTCACATTAGTGATTTCACGCTGGATATAGTTCTTTCGAAATATATTAGGGGCCTCAGTTGTTAGTATTTAATTCATATCTTTGGTGCAATTTCAAGATTTTGATTCTTTTTTTCCAAATTTTGTAGGTATATCGAAAATGTGTTAATGGTATTGCAAGTAAGAGATCCTACAATTGCTGGTGGTTACCGCCATGTTTTAAATCGCCTACAAACGGCTTTAACAGGTAAGGCGAGAGAATCGTACATTTGCTAGATATAAAAAGTTAGCAAGTGTGCACATTTAAATTTGTCTTCAACTGAAAGCTGAACAAATACGTGCGAATTTATATATGACTAATGTGCATTGTGGTATAGAGTTCACAATTTTTGGACAGTACTCCGGACATATAGAATAAGTATGTCTCATAAACTTTTGGTTTGAAGTGCCTTATCTTTTCCAATGAGTCAGTTATGCGGGCTGAATATCTGATTGCTTTCAGCTTATATGGGGACAGATACAAGTGCAAGCTTAAAGCGACGAGCACGAATAATATTACAATTAGCAGCGAACTTACAGAAATAATTGAAGTTTATTTAGTGGTTCGATTTGTAGCAAAAGATGTGCAGAATGAATATAAATTTGTATAAATTTACAGGCTTTATGATTTTTATATTATGTTTTACCTTGCTCTTGAGAAGATAATGTATGTTAAAATATTACTAACGAATCAATCACAGATTGTTTCCACTCCGTTGCCTTTGTTCTGAAATCTTCAACTTTCGCAAGTTAACGCTCTACTTTCGTAAAAATTTTTTTTTGATTCCATAAATCAAATTTATTCATCTATGCGCGGGTCAAAATATTGCTGATCAGACAACAATATATTTGCAAATAGAATTTTCCTTGCCATTTAATTTAAGTCTAAAATGATTTTTTTTGAAAATATTTGTCATTTGAGTTTGAAATAATTTTTATATAATTGAAAGGATTTTAAAAGATGTTCTTTAGTCGAATGTTTCAAAAACTATGTTCTTGTATATTTTATGGTGTGTATAAAGGTAGGCGAAAAATATGTGATTTTATTACATTACGTATTGAAGAAAGCTCTATACAAAAAAAGAAATCCATATATTACATGAAAAACTCAGATAAATATCACGAAGAAAATACGTTTGCTGAATATAATTTACTGATACATTCTGACTTGTTTTGTAAAAATAAAAAAAAAAAAAACAAATAATCCACTCTTAAATCATTTCATCTGAATTGTTTGGATTAATTGCTGTGATTCTGTCAAATTCCTACGAGGAGCATATTGCTAAACCTTGAGAGGTGAAAGAACTTGAGGGATTGCTTTACGTATATTACATAAACTGGCAGAATTTGGGCTTGAAGTACGCTTCATAAGATCTGTAATATATAAGTAGAAAATTCTATTTCATAATTCGAGAGGGTGTATCGCATAATTTTCCATAGAAAAAGTACTAACTAAAACCATACAAATTTGGATCTAAGAATCGTGAGAAATCAATGATATAGGCATTGGTCGAGAACGGAATTGAACTTTTTTACGAATCACGGCGGCAATTTGTATAATTCCTTGATTTTCTACATCTCGTGTAAGTACAATCAATGGATTCTGAAGTTTCACCTCTTTTCCTTCCATAATATGATGTCCAATACGAAGTAAGGCCTGCAAAAGAAAAACAGTTGCTATTTTTATTTATTAAATTTCGGTTATGAATGTATTTGATGCTGTATTATAAGTTGTTTTATCTACTAAAAACGAAACCTTGTAAGAGTGGAACGAATCCGATACAATCTTAGTTATAGATTCCTCAACATATACTACTCTCGAAGTCATTTATTTGAAAAGAATTCTCTACTTTTTTGTTCTCCCATGTTAGACTACCAATTTGCTGTCCCACAAGTGTACCAACTGAATTCAACGTTCCTTGTAATTCGATCATTGCCCACTCCGCAATACCATCTCTGAAATCGAAATTCGTTTTTGAAAAATCAATTTCTTTCATTAATTTTTAATTATTCTTCCACTAATTTTTGATTATATTATAGCTGGATGAGATATTTTTGTTATTTCTTTAGTTTTCTCACAAATCGTTAGTATTTAAGTTCCATTTTGCTCACAAAAATCATTGGTAAATTATTGTTTCTGCTAGCCAATTAAGACATTTAGATTACTTTACGCAATTGTCATTGCTATCCGATCTTTGAGAATTTTATGAGAAATGAAACTCATATTTCTCATATTTCAAAAAAAAGAAAATTGAACATACTCCCGTGGAATCAGCCTCATCTGCATCGTGCATAAGTTCTTCCTTTAATGAAGTTATTGTAGGAATCGATACTTCACTCACGTAAATATCACTGAAATAAACGATTTCTAATTTCGGGTGACAAAAGACATCATCCACCTTCTGCTAATATTCATTTTCTGTCAGATATATCGTACGATGAAAGTTTATCAATTGAATATTTCATTGATAGTTTCATTTAATCTTGGCTTACTAAAAACAAGTAAACGAGCAAAATGCTCAAAGATTTTTCTAACGTAATGTTTACATTATATCTCATGATATGAAAAAGTACACTAATAAATATTATCCTCAGAATATTCTGACAAGTGTCAAGAATTTCTAGCCAAATGATAAAATAAAATATCGGTCCAGGAAGTTTGGGATTTGAATAATTCTCATGCCGCTAATTCTTAAATACTCTTTATCGAACAAATAATCCTTTAAGAACAAGGATATGCTTAAGAGTACCAAGATTTTGATAGATAAACTACTACTATCGATAATGATTATTGATGGGATCAAACGAAAATTTAAACGATTTGCATCATTAATATTTGATGTGAAATTCGGTACCATAATTGGGAAAAATACATAAATTTGGATAATGTAGCCATTAAAAAATTGGTAATTTAATGTTGACTAATTTGTTCAGAGAAATTTTGCATAAATACATGAAAGATAACTAAAACCCAGCCAATTAAACCAACAATAATTTTAAGATAGGTTAAAACAAAATCCATTATGAACCGATTGTATTAAATTTCAAATGGAAAATTAAAACATGTTGGTTAATTCTTTGTTACACTGATAGCTTTGTCACGTTGAAAACAACATAAACTTTCAATGGATTACTCATTTTAATAAAACAATTTCTTTTCTCATATTCAAACGTATATCATAAATTTTATGATTTTTGTTCAAAGATAGAAAACCTGCATAAGTATCAAAAAATCCCGAAATTCCATTTAATTTCGGGTACAACAGCATTAGAACAAGGATAGCAAAACATAGCTATATTTAATGAGGAAAACAGACGAGATATTAAAATGAATGGATTAAATTTTTTTTACAAGATTGAATAATGTAATACAGCTGGGAAGTAAATATTATATGAAACAACGTCTTTAGAAGATAAAATAGAAAATTAAAAATACAAAATTGAAAACATGCAATAGACACAACTTGCACTTACTTTTATTAAAGTTAATAAACAAGCTATAGTAAACAATGGAAGTGAGAAATTAAAAGCATACTCAATTTACAACTGATACAAATCTTCTTTACAGATCGGTGGTATACCTCTCAAGCCCGAAAGAGCAACCTTCCCGCACAACCTATCAAAAATCTGAATTGAAATTAAAGTTAAACATAGTTTAAATTCCGAAAGAAAAAGAAAAAGTACAAGCACCGTATGTTGACGCCAATAAAAAGTTGACGATAGAAAAAATGCAGGAAGCTCCAAAACGGTTTGGCGTTCACATATAATTTAAAATAAAGTTAATTTAAAATTTTAAAGAGCTCACAATCAGAGCTTCCACAAATTACAGCGCAAAAATGCAAAAGAAAAAATATATGAAAGCAGAAACATCAGAAACAACTACGCCACAACGATGCTAAAATTTATCAATGTTTTCGTGTTGATCAATAAAAATAATTCCGAAAACTATTTGTCAAGATAAAAATATTAAGCTAAGCAGATGGTTTTTTAATGTTGTGATACCACCAACGTAAATGGTATTGCTTATCATCACCACCGGTGATGATAAGCAAAACCGTTTACTTTGTCATATAACCACTATTAGCACAAAAATTAAAGAAATCGGAGCAGGAAGTCTGAGTCCTAATCCCTGATGCGAGCTCGTTTGTCAGTTGAAAAAAAACTAAAGATGACTGTTCAGAGAGCTAATATCGTAATGACTTGATAATATCGGCAATACTGAAGCCTTTTCATTTTGATTTCCAAAGATGACGGAGAAACATACCAATCTCCAAGAATTTTCAGAAATATCGAAGGTTAAATTAAAAAATCGTAGCGAAGGTGCTTCGCTACTGTAAATGAAAATTTGTCTAAATTTAGAAAATGAAACTTGATAAATTATAAAACATAGCAAAATGGAAAAGTACTGACAAACTAGGAATCTTAGATGATATAAAGAGTTCGGAAAATCATGACTTTCTTTCTGAGGCAATGAACTCAATCATAAAATATTAATAAATACGATTTCAATATGAATAAAGAGATGCATTAATATTAGTTTCTATAAATAAATACAACTATCATAATATGTGTAAAAAAAATACTGCACTATTTATTGAACTGAAGCACCATTACTTATAAGCATTTCCAGTATTTTGAAAAATTGGCATTTTAAGTTTCATAGCTCGTAAACCATATTTTATATATAAAAATTATCCATTTCATAACTTCCTAAAACTGATATATAAAATTATCCATTTTAGGAAACTATGAAATTTTTTGAGATCAAAAGAATTTTTTAAATCTGATTCCAAAATAACTCCAAGATTATTGAATAAGAATGGTCTAAAAGTTCAAAATGAGAAAATAGTATAGGAATTCCAGACGTAATCTAAGAAGGCAGAAAAACAATAAAGTCTCATGATTGAACTGAAGTAACCCGCTGCAAGCTTTACAAATTGAGATTACTAACGAAATATAAGGCATGAATTTATTCATGCATTCATATAGGAAAAAATATAAACTTAAAGACGTGAGAAAAATGAAATTTTTTTTGTTGATCATTTTGCAAGTATCACGGGAGATATTTGTTCTGAGCAACATCCTAGAGTGCACTTCACTGATTCCACATACCACTTTTCTAATAAGCATTTCTGGAAAGCAAGCAGTTGAATAAATTAGTAAAAAAGTAAGTAAATTATAATTACCCTTCAGGCATTCAATGCAGGCCGTCTTCGGGTGATGGCGATAATACGCCGGCGTGATTACGGTCGTATATGCAATTCCTGAAAAAAGCTTATGGCAAAATCAACAAACTTTGATCCTGGATGAGTCGTTAATTTTCGAAGTTATCAATTCGAGTACGCAAGATAATATCCAGTCGTTTTCCTCAGGATACATGTGGATAGATTTTATAAAGGAAAAGGGGAAGAAGAAGACTGTAGTTGATAGTAATAAAATAAAAAGTAAACACTAAGTTATTGAAAAACATCTAAGACACGCATGAAATATTTCTACTTTCAGGTTCTTTAAGAATTCTAAGAAACATTCAGTTGGGTAAAATTCTTTCTGATAATGAACCAGGTATCCAAATAAATATGCAAGGAGATAACTTACATACGCTATCGCAGAAATGGTGGTCGAGGCGGGCGCATTCCCGGCGGAGGAGGTCTCAGTGGAAAAGGCTGTCGTCTTGCAACAAAAGGTGGAGTAATCCGTGGTCTTACCGGCGGAACTGCCGCAGAGGGAAACGGTGAACATGTTGCTAGTCCAGACGGTCTAAAAGGTGGTCTCACCCGCAGCCCCGCTAATAACAGTCCTGAGAGCGGTGACGATCCAGGCAGTCCTCTAGGTAATCTGTTTAGAGGCATCCGGTTTTGGATCGGCGGAGGAACTGGAGGACGAGGTCGTACCAGTGATGTTCCCGTACGTGTTGCCAACACCGCCGAATTTGCAGACGCCTAAAAGATAACATAAACCTTTTCCTTATTAATGATAAATCATTTCATTAATTTGAGAAATGATTCGAAGTATTTAAAATTTACTAACTCTTAAATTAGCAAATACTTCGAATCCAATTCTTAAAAGTTAAAGTGGAGGGGATTTATTAGTAAATTAAAATGGCAGGGATAAATAGCATTTACTGAACATTTTTTGAAGGTAGAGGAAACTGTTACGAATAATACAACCCGACCGGCATCAGTCTTACTTCTGTATTTTAATCCCGATGAAGAGATTCGAATTTTCGATTTTTTCAATAATGACGTTATCTATTATCTCATATACAGTAAATACATGAACTCTTACCGGTTGGTCGAAAAACATCATCCGCGAAGCATTCGTAGTCTTAGAACATGATGATAATGGCTGATGCTGTATTGTTTTTTTCGCTTTTTCGGATACAGATGGATCAGATTCATGAGACCAACGAGCATCCATATTTGCCGGTGGCCAACAAAAATCAACTTCCCGATCTCCCTCGCTAGTTTCAGGTGCTGAAGCGGAATTATTTGGAACAACAGCACCAGCAGCGCTATCACTACTCTGTGGAATGGATAAAGCAGAAAGTAATGTTTTAATAACATTCTGGCTGGTTGGCACTGAAACTGGTTCGTCGGATGATTTCGAGCTGTCAAAATTTGCCGATGTGTTATTGATAGTGCCTCCACGAAGTGAACGATCAGAATTGTAACCTGACGCTATAACCGCATTAATCGAAATAGATTCTGCTTTCACAGTACCAGATGAAAAAAATCGAGATGAGCCTATCTCGCCACCATTGAATGTTGCACTGCTTGATGTGGGTAGAGATTCTAGCGAAGTCTGCATTTGAAGAGGTGGTGGACGTGAAAATTTTGCGGAAAAAGATTTTTCATCTGACTGTAACTGCTGATGTGTATTGAAGGTACCAGTACCAACAGTACTATCTGATGAGATTCCTGGAAGATTAGAATTTTGTTTTTGATGCTGATGATGTTGTAGTGATGGAGAATAGTTTGTCGTCTGGTACTGCGAGTGATATAAATTTTGTGATGTTCTTAATTCAGAGAAATTGCAACTGTTGTTTGCGGTTGAATAGGTGCCGGTCCCGGTCTGATGTGACTCAGAGCCATACGATGAATTTGGAATCAACAAAGGTTTTGGAGGTTGCTGGTGTGGTTGCTGTTGCAAAGGGGAAACTGTTGCTGTTGTCAGCGAGCCGCTAACTGTCGTAGTTGCACACGAAGTAGTAGGTACTGAATATGGTGCTACCGAGGTACCGGAGATATTATAATTTGTAGCACTAGCATACGGATGCAGCACTGTTGGCGGTAATATAACAGCTGGGTGATTATTTACTTTTGCCGTCGAGCTGTTACTAATGTTTGCTGAGCTATGGTGACTGTTGTGCCCAATCGTCGCTAGTGGATAATGATTGCCGGACGCAAAAGCGACTGTGGTTGGCGGTAACTGCTGCGAAGACGGGCCAGGATACAACGTAAATGCTTGAGTTTGATTTGTATACGGTGTAGCAACAGAAGCAGTAGGCGCTGCAACAGCATGAGATGGTGTTGTGGGAATATTCTGGAATGCACTTACCATTCCTGAAATCTAAATAATTATCAAGATTGCAACAAAAAGAATAAATCTTTTGTGTCGGAAAAAAATCAACGAAAAATAGAAAATAAGAAAAAAATGTTCGTGAAAAAATTCGGACCTGGAGGATGAGCTGCTGCAGCTGGTGCGTGTGATGGAAGATTCAAGGATGGCACTGTCGGTACTGCTAGCGATGAAGTTGCAACAAGATTAGCAGGATACGGTACACCAGCAAAAATAACAGATGCAGTAGTAGATGTTTGAGGAGGCCCAGAAATGGCAGATGGGTTGATACTCTGGTCAACAGTAAGCTGGTGAAGTGGAGGTGGCGGAAAATATGGGTATAGTGATGGAGCATTTCCTGTTGCTGACGTACTGACAAGAACTTGAGGGGCAGTGCCAGGATGAAGCATAACCAAAGATGGAGGTGGTGGAGGTGTTGGCAAAACAGTAGGAGCCATCATTACCGGAGTAGTGGGAAGGCCAACAGGCAAAGCTGGAACCATGTTCGGTGATGGTGGTGTTAAAGGTGCAGGTGGCGGAGGTGGAAGTAAGACACCGTTTCCACTGACACTTTTATTACTTTCTAGATCCATTTCTACCGGATACATGTGCATGTCTTCCTTAGGAACTGTCTGATTTTGTCTGAAATGAAAAATAAACACAATGTTAACAGCAGTGAGATGATAAGCAAATTAATAAATGGAAAAAAAGAGTTTTACAAATAAGATGTTTAAAGATATACCCATCTTGCTGATCATCATTTTTCTTTCCAACCTTTAGCAATGCATCTTTCAATGTTTCTAGCAAAACTTTGTGATCAACCTGAAATAATAACTAATTCTTACTCGTTTCACTAGATATTGAACAACAGATTGCCAATTTCACCAAATATTGAACAAACAAAGTAATTTTTGAAAACCTTTGGAAAGCTTCAAAGAACGTTCGTACCAAAATTGCGCAGAAACTTCAAAATCACTAATCAAAATTGTAGATGACTATAGTTTTCTATAAAAAACAGTAAGCAAGAAATTTGGAATTGGATAAATTTCGAACCTGCTTCATTGCTTTCTGCAATTCTTCACCCAAGCATTCTGCTAATTGATTGTGTGGGAGTTTCGTAAGTTCTGCCATTTCAGCTATCAAATCGGGCGTTTCTTCTACTCTTAATTTGCTACCCTAAAAAACCATTAAACCATACTTCTGAATATCATTTAGTAAAATATGCGGCATCAATTTCAATCCAATTCTTATATCATATTAGGTTCAGTCGGATTTTATAGCTAAAAATACAACTATTAGATAAAATAAGATTTACCTCCCCCGATAAAGCAATAGTTTCATCGATAGGAGGAGGAGGTGGAGGACTTGAAGGTGATGCCGAACCAACACCTCGTGAAGAAAGCATCGATGAATTAGCATCATGCCCCGGTGAACCGGGTGGTGTTTTTGGTCCCCGTCTTTCCTCATTTGCAACACCAACAGGTAGCGGTTCACATATGGTTGGGAAATCATCCACCTTACTGTTTGACTGAAACGAAAATTTTAAGATTTGGATATAATTTTAGATTTGTATTTGTTCAAGCACAAAAGTTTCCATTTTTCGAAATGAAAAGAACAAATGGCTTCAATCCAGTAATTTGATCCTCGTTGTAGAGAATACATTCTGGCAAATTACAGCTGTCTCATACTCAGTATGACATATAAGAAACAGGAAATTGATGAAGCACATTCTTAAATATTTATATAAAAAATGCATTCTATAATCAGAAAGACTAACATTTTTCCGATTTCTGGTCGGCAAATTATCTTTGGGATCAAATGGTAAGAAACCAAGGACAATGTGAGAATCGACACGGCCTGTAAGCATTTTATGCCCAAGCAAACGCTCCATTAATCCCTCTCGTTGCATAAAGGCATAACATGACGAATCGTCATTCTGATGACGTTCTAAATCTTCACGTGTAAGTCCAGAAGTGCTCCGTTTGGGTGGGCTGTTGCTGACATTAGCCATCATACCACTCGGACCTGCTTCATCGGCATCATCTTGAGCTTAAAAAAATTGAAATATAAAAAGACCGATTTTAGTAAAAACTTTCAATTCAAAAAATCATTACAGTTAAATTAAGCAAAAAAGATTAATATAAAGTTTCACTTCTGAATTGCAGAAGAACTGCTATTACTTAAGAAAAACTGCAAGAGTCTGCAATCAGAGAGCATAGACAATAAACAAGACACCCTCTCTCTCAATAAAACTGCAGAAAAATTAATCGTTTTTTTATATATTGCAAAAACAAAAATATGTATGCGGCCTTACGTGCATCTTTTTTCCGTTCTTTTGGAGGGTTCACCATCGAATCTAAGATTCGATCAAAAAGTTCTCCAGGTTTCGATTTCCTTGAATGTGTAGGAGTTTGCTGGTGGTCGTGCGTAGTCCTTAAATAATAAAAAAGATTTTCGAAAAGTAGTAACAAGTTTGAAGCTAAATTTTGCGAAAAAAAAATTCATTTTAAACCAGTGACGAAACTGTTTTCACTTTGACATTATGAGATCCATATCTTAAAGATCAATTAAAATTAAAATTAAATGCAGTAATTTTATCTACAGCAAGAGAACATCTTTGATAAGCAGCACATATTAGCAAATCATTCAATTAATTCTCAATAGATTAAAATATAACTAACTTCTTCTTGGTAGGCGGTACGATACGACTAGAAAATGCTGAGTCATTTTTGCGAACTGAAGACGTCGAAGCAAGTGGAGAACGTGAATCTGACTGACCTCCCAAACGAAGTCGTTTTGCCTGAAAAACGATTGATAAAATTTATATAAATTTTAAAATTTTTTATCGAAATCCAATATTTATATCATTGACCTAATTTTTTCATTTTAGTACAACTGAAAGATTTGACAAAGCAATCCTTGAATTGGATTTTTTAACATTCTGGTTTCCGAACCAAAAGCCAACAAAACACTGCAAATTAAAACTTCTTGGAGCAAGACTGAAAAACTACAAATCATTCTTTGTCTAATAACAAAATAAGAGAAGTGTTTATCATCCAATCTCGCCACCAATCAGCTAAATTTATAACTACTAAGTTAAAATCATTGGAAATATATCTAACTTTTCAGTCCTGATTCCCTTTCTAGCCCGCTTTTTAGGCCCATATTTAATTGTATACATTCATTCATCTTGAACTAAGAAGTTTCTTTCTTGTACAGTTTTTCAAATATCTGATAAAAAAAATAGTTTAGTTTACACATTTTTCCATATCAACGCACCAACGCAGAAGATAGAAAATAAAGCTACATTCAGTGTTACAGTGTGATTACCTTATCCGGTACGCCATCCCCTGCACTGTTTTCACCAGCTCTCCGTCTTGGAATTCGAAATGGACGTGTGAGTTCATTAGTGCCTATGTCCATTGTTAACAATACATTATAGCCAACTTTTAACTTTCTAAAATGTTAAAAAGTAGTGATACGCAAAGAAGGAACAGAAACAACTGAAATCTGAAAATTTCGAGCAAATTATTTACTAAAGATGAGAGAAAAATGATATGATTAGTACAACTAACAACACTGCACGGAATGGCTTAGTCTAATCATTAACTAAAAGTAAAATTATGCCTGAAGAATCAAGAATCAATTCTAACCAACACAAGAATAATTAGAAAACGGTCATAAAAAATTCCACTGACAATGAGTAAAATTCGCAATAAAATTCCTAACGCAATAAAATTGAAGCCAAATTTTAAAACTTATGATTTTGAAATGTAAACGGCCCATCATGTTTGAGCAATTTGAAATTAATTAAATTCGAAATCAACAATGTCTATAACAGCAATTAACAAACTACAGCTAGTTAGAAATAATTTGCAAATAATTAGCAACATCTCAGGACTAAACATAATTTGGAATCGACTTCAAGACTAGTAAAACCAAGGATGAATTAGCAGAATAGTTCCACAATAGACGACATAAGTTATGCTTGAAATATCTATATGCTTCACGTTTTCGAGAGCTAGTTAATTTTAACGTCCTGAGGATATCTCCTCGTATTTAGCACCTAAGACTGAATAACTCCATTAACAAACTAATTTAAACATCAATATTTACGCTTTATTTTCCTGATAAATGTTTTCAATCAAAAATCAAAATTTTCGATTGAAAAACAAATTTCACTAAAGTTAAGCCCAAATAATAAGTTTAATGCAATTTCTTGTAATAAAAGATCAACAGAAGATACGGGAACAAAACTCCACGCCAAATAATTCACGCCATAAAATCCGAAGCAGCGATTTCCTGTACTGCGGCCAGTATCCACTTCATATTACCGTGTATGAAAAAATTTTGGATCAACGATATTCCTCAAATTCGCAATATCTTCTTTTCTTTTTGCTTCGAAAGTTTTTTTATAAATTAATTTGAGAAATGATATTCTAAGCAAGGAAATGCTTCCGTTTAATCAGACGTCTAAAAGGTTCACGTACGACGTAAATTGTAGAATGTATATGCTACAACCAAAAAATTTTCCTTTGATTTATTAATTTGCCGCATTGTTATTCTTTCATCTTTTTTAGCGAAATGTTCATGAGATTTAAATAAAGTTTGTTGAAATATTTAAGTTTTAGAAAAAAGGAATTATATATAATTTGATATTATACTCACTGATCACGATTAATGTTATTCGCAATAAATAAATTTCATATATGGCTTATTTTATCAGGCCTGTTTTTAATCGCATATATTTTCTCGCTTATTTTGAAAATGTCTAATGGTTTATTTTATTGAACATATTATACAGTGCTTGTTTTAACTACGATTAGCGTAATTGTTTTTCGACTTATTTAAATAGTTAATATATGAATATATTCCTTGAACTTGTTTTAGCAAGCTAAACGTTTTTTAGCTTATTTTGGAAGCTAATAAATAAAAAAGAAAGAAAGAAAGCTTAAATTCGTTAACATTTCATTTCATTTTATCAATTTGCTTGGCACTTCTGAGACAGCAATGGAACATTGTGCGACGTTGCCGCATGCGTCTCTTCCAATGCAATCTCGAATCGATTCCTTTTTATGTTTTCATTTTCATTTGTTCGTTAAGTAAAGTGTTGTGATGGTGGGATAAAATAGTTGTGTGAATTTATTAAATTTTAATTTCGAGTTTACGAATTCTGATATGTTTATGAATGATTTACTGAAATAGGAATGATATATTTTTACATAAATATTCAATTGAGAAAGCATTCGATTTATTTCTTTGTTGTGCTATATGAAATTGTTGAACAGAATGGCATATAGCGATTAATACGAAAGATAAAAGTGCTAATATAGATTGAATTATTTGCAGAGAAAGAAAAGCCAAATTATTTGGGAGCAATGGAAGGTTGATTTGGCTTATTTTATTTTTTGATATAAATGAGAATGATTTCTTTTTTTTTTTCTTTTTTGGAATTTTCCACATGATTATTTTGGATATTGTTATATTACGTTATTAAATGTATTATGAGTATAGTTATTATATTAAATAGTTAAGCTAATGTTAATGTAGGAGGATAAGATGACAAATGATTGATGCTAATAATTTCAAGTCACTAATAGTATTAATCTAATTGGAAACGATTCGGATACGAATTATCTATCAAGCTAAAATGATAGATGGATGGTTATGAATTGCTGTAACAATAGCAAAAGATTTATCAATTTTTTATCAATATTCTTGCTTGTTGCGATTTCGCAAAAAAAAAAAATTGATCGAATGAGAACTATTGTATTTCGAAAAAAAGAGAAAAACAAAAAAATTTGTAGTTTAGTAATCGATTAAAATCGGACTTTTATTTGTCGAAGAAAGGACATATCAAATTTCACAACAATGACAGCTTTTCTTACAACGTATTGTTTACTTAAACTGGGTGCCATTGAATTGAAAATCTTTACTGCATGTGTGAAAATTTTAGAATTTCAAAATAAAATAAATCAAATAAATTATGTAAAAAATTTTCTCATCTTTATTCATCGTAAAGAAAAAATAAAAACAAGAATAAAATTAAAAAAACTGGTACTACATGTATAAATTGAAAATAAAATACTCTTACATTTAGTTGAGATCAAGAATTGGAATTAAACTTTTGCAAATGTTAGGAGGATTTTCTTTTTTTTTGAACTATTTGAAAAATATGTAAAGCGATTGAAAAAAATGAGATAAGATTTAAACTGAATCAAACTGTACTTGGTTTAATGTGATTAATACTAATACAATCAATCCTGATATTATTTTTAATGTCATTAATATGATTACAATCAATTCTGATATTACTTCTACTGTGATTAATACGAATATAACCAATTCTGATTTATTTTTAATCTGATTAACACGAATACAATCAATCTTGATATTATTTTTAATGTGAATAAAATCAATTCTGATATTTTTAATATGACTAATACGAACACAATCAATTCTGGTATTTATTCTTCAATATTATCATTTAGATATTTTTAGCCTTTTTCGCTTCTTTGTTAAAAAAAAAAAAGAAATATTGCATAAATATTTCTTTCACAACTAACATCTCTTCTTATCTGTAAAATTTCTTTTAATGTTCGAGAATTAAAATAAATTTAGAACGAAAAAATCAATCGCTGTCACGGTGTAATTAAACACTAAAATTAAAATATTTTAAAATTTACTCCAAATAAATGTAACTATTGTGGTGTAACTAAAAATATTTCTTAAAGTTACAACGCACAACGACAATTAGTAGGGCGTAGGCTTTTATAAAAATATATTTGCATTAAATTATTGTGAAACATTAATTGTTGATTATCAAAATTAATTTTTTTTTCTTTTGGTTCCATTATGTTTCAATATTAGGTGATGCATTCAACAAACGAAACTTTGTTGCTCCCTTTTCCTTCTTTTTCAACTATATTTTGGGATGTTTCTACATCTTTTTCTTTCCAATTTCTTTTTTGCCATTTAAATTTTCATGCAATTCAATTTTCTCTCTAACTTCCTTGTTCCTAAGCATGCATCAACCAATCAATCAACTTTCCCCACTTTTTTGATAATAAAACACTTGTTAGAAATAAATTCACACTCCATCTAATAACATCTTCCATCTTCTAATTATTATTACATTTATTATCATTTTCAAAATTTATATACATATGCTAAATTAAATTGGCGTAGAAATAATTAGAAATGATAAGTAAATGGAAGAAGTTCGATTATTATTGCTTTGGCAGTTATCAAGAGAAAATAAGTCTAAGGTTTTAATGAATGTATAATCTAAATTTGACCGCTGTACTTTTGAATTCTTCCTGTTTTTCATTGCTTTTACTACAGGACACTGATTTGAATGGTACATAAAATCTTCATTTAAAGATTAAGAAATACGTGGAGGTATAAAAGTGCAGTGGTCTTTAATTTAAAGTTCGATAATGTAATTCCGAAGAGTACAATTAAATTCATAATAATACATTCTAGTTTTTAGTTATTTGATTGCTCGCAAATGTTTCAAAAAAAAACATCAATGATCAATTTTTATTTGCCTGAGAAAAAACACCGGATTGCTGAAATAACCAAGACGAATGCAAAAGTTTTAGTTATATTAATAAAATATGAAACTTGAAAAATTCCATAAAGACTTAGAAATTTAATTTTTTTTTGTCATTTTAAAGTATCATTCAAGATTTCGATAGCATTAAAATTGAAATGCAAAAATTGAAATCAAGACAAATACTAGTTGAAACACCATCAACCAAATAACAGCACCTTTTTAGGAAATAAGGTGACTGCCACAAACAATACTTGAAAATTAAATCCGGATGCACTTTATGTACAAAACATTTCTGAAAGGCATCGTTGACATATATGATGACATGATGAAAAAACTTGTGTAGCATAGAAAGCCCTATATGTATCCGTTATTCTTGAAAGTTTGATCGAAATTTGAAGCAAAACTATGGGGGAATTGCAGCTAAAACTCTATGTTTGAGCATTTTTAAGTTTAAAAAAAATGTGAAAAAGAAAAAAAATTTCTTCTCAATAGAAATGAACAAAACAGTGAAATCAAAGTTAGCTAACGAAGCATCAAAAAATGAAAATAACCTAGAATACAAAACTGGCAGTGGTATAGTTATCAGATTAAAAGAATTGAGCTTTAGAAATTAGTATTAGCAGATTGAGATCTCCTATTGACTCTTCCTCTATCCTTCTCCCATATTTGATTCTTTTGAAAGAACTTGAAGTAAAAAGGCAGTTGCACTTTTACTATCAAAAATATTAAATTTCACATCTCTCTCGCCCCTTATCATAGTTCAATTACAAGACAACATAAATTGCCCTCATCGAAGTACTTATCCAATAAATTATCTCATTGTAAATTTTTGCTTCAAACTTTATTCCTAATTTTTCCTCAGTTCAATCTTTTAAAAGTCCAAAATAACATATCACAGAAATGCGTGTTTACTCATCAACAGAAGACCTGATACTGTCGGCGGATTCAATATTTTTTGTTAATGTGTAGGAAGCGGGACACGAAATTCGGACTTCACTTTCGGTTGTTATAGCTGTAGATGCAGGAACATAAGAGAGTGAGGAAGGTTTTTCGGGTAATGACAAAATGGTTACAGAAGGCAGTGTTATGTCAGCTACCGAACGTACAGTTCCTGCTATTATACTCTTTTCTTTACGTTTTTCACCCCTTGCTCGCCGTTCTTTTTCCGCACATTTCGCTGCACTGTCAACCTAAAATTAAATGTTCCTAAAATCAAAATTTCTACCAATAAATCTAGTTCAAATTAATAACAGTTACGCATAAAATATAAACCTTCTACTTGCTCATAGTGAGAAATTTCTTTTTTTTTTGATTGTTATATCTATAGTTATACCAAAGCAAAAGATGCAAATTTTACAAGATTATGCCCGAGAGAAAGTTCTACATCTGAGAAATAAATACACAGAACAAAAGATATCAAATTTAAAGCATCCAAAAAGGTTCCAATGATAATGGGATCTTACTTCTAAGGCTTTGGCAACAATATCTTGAATTTTCCGCTCCATTTCCTCATCCTCTTTCGGATCACTAGGCTGCTTGTTGGACCCAGAAAGTGGTTTTTTAGCGACGCCGTTTCGGATCTGTCGCTGTCGGGAACGCTTTAATGGAGTGGCGCCAACAGATAGGGATGTTAAGGTAGACTGAGTAGAAGACTGCTGTCCGAAACCACCTTAAAAAGATATTGTTGTGAACTTTGGTTTTACATATATTTTGCTTCATGAACCAAAAACGCGACTTTTCCAATCAATCCATCAAGAAAAAAAATTTGTTCATTGTACACTTCATTTTGCGTATTTCAAAGCATACTAAATATTTCACTACCTGGAGCGGATGAAAATGTCAGAATAGCACTATCCGACTGCGGTGACATGAGGCCGTCTTGTGCTGATGCTCCATGGTTACTGGCATCTACGGTGGTGTTTCCAACAGTATCATTCTGAAAACATTTTAATCAAATAATCTGCCACTGACTTAGGTTCAGGATATTCCATTTCTGTAAGACTCATCATGTTTTTAGCTGAACAGGATATTTTAAAAAATTCTTTAAAGTTTGCCAAAAGTTGATGTCGTTGCAGTTGATCATATAAGACTAATACGAAAGCATGCAGCAGAGCCTGTAAATTATCTCTTATTTTATATTAAATCAGCTCAGATTTCAGAATATAAAATTTTACAAGATATATTTAAAAAAGATGGGTAGGATGCAAATAAATCTGACCTTATCTGCAAGTTGCGCCACTCGATTCAATAAATTTTTGTTATGTGTAGTCAGAACTTGAAAGTTTTCAGCAAGCACCAGAGAATTGGCAGTACAAAGCGAATTTAAAAATTGAGTGTTGCTATTTGAAAGGGCGGCAGTATTATTCACATTTTTTGCAGATTCTAATTCTTCCCGCCGACGCACTTTAATTTCCAACTGCTGATTAGACATTTCTAATGCAGTTATTTCACTTTCCAGAGCTGCACATTCTGCCTTAAAAATTATATTACATTGATACAATCTATGCATACGCATAAATATATCATTTAAAAAACAAGGAACATAAAACGCTGAAAATATGACTACACCTCCCTGTTTTTCTCATCTCAATTTTCGGTGAACATTTCAATGTAAGCTTATTAATACTGGACTTTTTTTTTATTTGGAAACTAACCGTAATTTTTTTGTGATGTGCAACAATTTCTTTAGCATTTTCCAGTAACAAACTTGGTGTCGACGCTTCAATACCTAGCTCTTCAATTCGTGCATAAAAACAGTTCATACCAGATGAACGCAGATTTGTTATTTGCTTTGTTATAGCATCAATTCGAGATCGCAACAAATTTCGGTATGACTGAAATAAATGTGAAAATTCAAATGAATCACTATACAAAATACGTTTACTATTCTCAATTATGTAAAATATCAAGCAAACCTTCTGCAGTTCAATTTGAGCTCTGACATCATCTGCGAAGTTTTCCGCCTTCATTTTTTCCAACTGCGCTTCAAACATGATGCGCATTGATTCTAAAATATGAAACTTGTGGAACTATATCAACAATTATACGGCATAAGTTATAGCCTGCTATCACCAACAAATTCAATAACCTACACATATGCTCCCTTTGCCAACCCTTGTAAAAGCCTTATAAATGAAGTTATAATTGAATCTAAAATAAAAAGGGGGCATAATTTTAAATAAAAAAGACTGACACGATGTCATCTTGATCTAAATTATATTCTACCTCTCGATATATATTCGTTAAAATTAGTAATCATCTATAAAATCCATATCCTTTGGTACTTTGGTTTTTGTTTTTTTTTTAAATTCAAAACTGTGAAAAACCAAAAAAAAAGATCTGTAAAAGTTAATCAAGCATCAATGCAAATATTCAGAAACTAATTACTACTTAAAAACTGCTAAGTTGTTTCAATCAGGAAATCAAGGTGAAAAGATGAAAACAGTTTATAAAAGAAAAAAATAGTTCAATTTGTAGCTGCACATCTATTTTAAATTATAGCTACTACTATAAGATCCATGTACTAAAGTAATACTTACCTAACATCTGATTTAGTGCCGGATATTTACTCTGCTGCAATAATAATTCAGGTTTATTTTCTATTGTTGCAATAGCAGCATCATCACCCACTGCTCGATCCATCTCTTCTGGACGCGAAATATCTGATACATAAACCAGCGATGGATCACGCACAGGTGATGCAGTATGAGCGGCTGCTGTACAAGTCATACGATGCATCAAATCGATTGTCTCCCGTGTTTCATCATCAGCGAAGGTCTGAAGTTTTTCAGAAAATTAATGCAAAAAAGTTAAGAATTTGCATTTCTCTATAGCATAAAACAGCACACACATAAAAATAAATTACACACACCCACACATACATATGTCTGCACAGACATACAGTCTTCTATGCAATTTTATCATGAATGAAGAGAAATGGAGAACAAACAAATACACATAGATATAGAGAGTACAGCACAAAGCTTGTTGCTAGCGATACAGCTTCCAATCATCTTCGCTTTTCCAAAAAAAAAAAAAGTTTACATAATCATATTGTTTAGACTAACATGCTCAAAAATAATATAAAATTTATATTTCTTATCCTTGCCTAACAACTACATATATTGATCTTTTATCTTTCCTTTAGAAAAGAAAAATAGAACGAAATGAAGAAATGATCAAGCCACAGTCAAAATTGCTAACTGATGAACCGAAAAGACGAGTGGTAGAGCAAATGAATGACTGTTTTAGTGAAGTGATAAACGGATCACTAAACAATCAATTATTAGTCAAACGACTCAGTAATCAACTAATACCAACTAGAATTGTATAACTTGATTTATTAACTCAGTGAATAACTAATAAATTAGAGGGATGCAATTTTATCCTTTTTGCAAGCAGAAGACATCATAGATAAAGCGATGTCTTTGTCGACAATTTTCTATTAATAATTTCATCTCATTTCAGCAAGTCATCGAATGATTCAACTAAGATAAAATATTTTGAAATTTCTTATCTAATTTTAGAATATATATATATGAATCTTTTTAAATACAAAATTTAACTGAAATAAAAGTCCTTCAGTACCATCTTTGTAACATAAATCAGTTCCAATTTATATTAGCTTCACTTCAGAAAATAATAAGCAATATTTGTAAAGATGCAACCTTAGCTCAGATCCAGAGCAGTTATTTCAGTTGACATGTTCTACCTTTTTCCTTCTTTCTGTTTCTCTTATTGCTCTCTTTTTCACTCTCTTTTTTACATTCCTTATTTAATGGCACATATAACAGTTGCTACTTTGGTTTAAAAATCACAGAAAAATATGCCTAAAACTAAAGAATATTCCTTTGATTTATGCATTCAAAAAATTAAAGGATATTCCTCTGGCTTATGTCTAAGGGATTCCGTGAAAGATATGTGAGTCCTAGTAAAGGTAAAAAATGAGTCCAGCACAAAGAATTTCACCAAAACTGAACAGGAACTGGGAGAGAAAATATGCACCCGAAGCTGATCTTCGGTTCAATTTCTGGAGTAGGTAGCACAAAGTTAAGTAGGCCATTTCACAAAGAAAACGAATCAAAAGGCTCCAATCGCAAACACACAATTATAAGGCAGTGCTTAATCTTACATACAAGATGATTGTATTCATCCTTCCGATCTTCATCTACATAGGACCAAACAGTTATTAATATACCAATTTCGAAATACTTTTTGGCTAAATTCATTAATCTACAATTCCTTCTGCTAACATCCCTTTTTCAATGAATATAGAAATATGCTCACCTTGCCAGTAGCAGGTATTTTACGAGGTCGTCCACGCTGTCCAGTTTTACGAATTTTTCTCGATGGAGCATAATCATAATCCGGCATTGGCCATTTTGAACTACGAACTGATAAAGCATTCTCTGTTGAAGCCGTTGCAGTCGTACGTTGACTTTTCGTTTTCGTCGAACAATATTCTTGCCATTTGCGACGCGTCGTTGGACCGGTTCTAGAAATATAATACTGAAGACAGTTCTACAATCGAATAGGAGATGAAATGTATTCAGAGACAATGTTTAATGCAGTCAAATGAAACTACCGCGCTGCACCATGCATTTTTATGATGAGTTAATACCAAATTAAATTATCTTAATAGTCATTAACTTAAGCGCTGTTTACAATGGTTGATTTCATCACCAGTATCATTAACTTACGTTAATCATTAGGAACTGCTAAATAGATCAAACAAATGATCATTAATTCACTAACTTTAAGCTCCAACTTTAATTTCAATCAAGATAGGAAATTAGACTTACGCATAATCATCATCATCTGAAAGATCCGAATTCGGACGTTTGTTATTCCTACTAAGTGGTGTTGGACTTCGATCATGATAAGTTGGTGTACGACTTCGACCAACTGTTGGTGTAGCACCACGGCGACCACCCAGTGTACCAGAAAGATTATTCGGTAACGATGCACTAGATTCTCTGCTCCAGCACCGAAAACTATCGCGCGATGTTTTACTTGATGTTGATGATCGTCTACTACCATCCGAACTGTTGTGTTGTTTCAATGAGGGATTTCGTTGCGAGAGGAAATACTTTTCTAACTAAAATGTACTTCAATTATTACCTTACTTTACTTACTTTATGAAAACCTCTTTCCAAAAATAAACCAAACATCAAATCGATTTAAAAATGAAATACACTAATATCTTATTGAATGCTAAGTTTCATCAGACAGCTTTCATATAATCAAAAGATAATAATAAGAAAGACATCACCGCCAGAACGGCAATAGCCAATATTTGGATGTACATTTTTTTCATTACTAAATTCTTCAATTACAGATCAATTTCGTTGACCTACTTTAGCTCGATTGATGACATGATGGTAGTATGCAACATAATTACTTGTCCAAGAGCAAGCATTCTCACACTGTGCCATTTCGAAAACGTCCAAAATTGCTGATATATCTAAAATTGCTGATATATGCCTCTAAATAACTTATCCTGTACGGTTAAGCTTTATTTACGATCAGCAACATAAATGTTACTGGTTGTAAAACTTTTTAATGAAGATAAAGTTCAATGATTATCTCAGATTTTACTAAAAGTGATTGCATTCCATAGCGTTTGAAACTAGATTTCTGTCCCTGAAGCAGTCAGTGCAGAATTTACAAATAAAGCTAAGATGCTCGAGCAAGTGGTGTGTTAAATTCATTTTTATAAACTTTATTCCAAACGAATGAGTGAAACTGCCTTTTTTCTATTGTAAATGAAAAAATATCTTGAAGAACACAGATAGCCAAACTTTTACTTTTAAATCATATAACCTGGCAATTAAACACATCCAAACATAGTTCTTGTAAAAATTAGTGGCTCATTAATGGTTCATTAAAGAAAAAGGAAATCTGTACCATTCAAGTGTCTATCTGTGATCGTTCGATTTGGTAGGCCATAAGGTTTAGTTGAAATGATCCGTGTTCCATCTTTAAGTTCACTCAAAAGCTCTCTTAAAAAATAAAATATTTAATATGCAAATCTGGAAAGTCATATTAGATGCCTTCAGCGAAATAAAGGTTTTCTACAAAATAAACCACAATATGTGCGAGAGTAATCAAGATGTTTTATAGCGGACTTCAAAACTTTTGTAAGTCTACACAATTTTAATTTCAGCTTCAATGAAAAATCACAATCGCTAATAAAATGGAGCAAATAATACATGCAAATACAGAAATATTGCAACAAACCTTTTTATACGAGTTTCCAGTTCCGCTGTAAATGCAAAGTTATTGATCAGAATAATTGTTGCTTCTTTGGTAATCAGATCTCGAAATTTTTCATCTAAGAAATCTCCTTTGTGTAATTCAAACGGTCTAAATTTCTTTCCATACCACTTCATCCACCTGAAAGCAATAAGAACTCAAAACCATCACGTATTTTTAATGAAGACAGTTTGCAGAGAAACAATCAAAGTCAATTTTTTAGCATAGTTATTTCCTGAAATATCTTGCAATTATTCATTTATATATCGAATTCAGCAAACAATAACATACTTTTTGAATTCGACAGAAAGATTTTGCGCATAACGATTCGGCAATGAGGCAATTTCTATACCAACTGCTTTTCGTATTTTAGAACCGCCGGCCATGTGAATGACTAACTGACCAACTCCACTTCCAAGATCAACGAAAACATCTCGATCCTGCAACAACATCATAATGAATCGCGGATGCTGACCAAAAACAGATTCTTACTTTATCCAACATATTATTCGTGATATAATCAATTAATAATATATCACTTTCAAAAAAAAAGTTACAAAATCAGATTGTGTACATAAATAAATCATATTGACAAAATAAAGAATAATCCAACCACCTTATTCTGTCCTTCACTAATCTTTAATCAAAATAGAAAATTAAATTCCGGGAAAACTGGAAACAAAGATCAGAACAAATACGGCTCTGGTGTGTTATTACAAAGTCAATAAAGAACAGTAACGGGAAGGTATTTAAGTCTTCATAATCTCAAAATGCAAAAATGAAAAAATCTGGATTCTAGAAGTAAAATAAGCATTCAGAATGGAAACTGTAAATATCCAAAACTATTTAAAGATGTACTATCATATATTCATTAGCCTGTTAATATTTCACAAACCTTTGGCACAATTTCTTGAATGATCATTTGCATTCGATCAAATGATGTTTCACCATAGGTTTGTGATGAGAACGCTTTATAGTGATTATTTAAAAGATGCACATTGTCTACAGCACGATTGTATGCTCTGGTACAGATCTGCCTTAACAGCACTGGATTTGCTCGTTCGGCTGACCAAATCTCGCCACCTGGTTTCGTTGCACCTTTCCACTACAATCATAGCAGATTGATTAATAGAAACTCTTTAAAAAAATTATTTTTCGTAAATGATCTTTTGTTAATAATCAATGTAAAAAAAATGCGGTTTCAAACTCTATTCCGAAAAGGTGAAATTATGAAGCAGTGTTCTTCAAACGCCATGGATAAAAAAACAGCGAAATTTGCACTGAACCTCATGCAACTAAGGAAGAATGAAGCTATAAATTATTGTATGTATATTCGGCTTAATTCAGCAATTATCATGAGTCTATATAAAAAATTCAATTTTTCTTTGAAAATGAAAATTTTAGAATAGCTCAAATTGAAATGTCTAACCAGCTGAGTAAATGTGGGGCAAGTTTTGTTGAAAGCATCTAATAATGCCGACATTTGTTGAAAGCTGAAATGCTAATCTGTAGATCGATCTTTATTTTTCAAAAAAAAAAAAAAATTCCGCAAAGTCTCAAAATACTTAATGTTCAGTGTTAAGCAATTTTTATTGAAGTTACATGATACATACATTTCAGAAACTTCAGATTAAATTACACAACAAATAACTTACTTCCTCTTATCAATTGTATCAAGGTTCATCCCGCAATGCTGTCTTAAAATGAAATTAAGCTCAGGAAATGATGAAAGCGCATTCCTGAAATATTCCGAGCACTGAAAAAACCAAGTAATAAATTATCTTGTCCATTTTGGTTATGGATTCGTTCCATAATTTTCTGAATCATTACACTGAACACACAAACACTGGACAGTTCGAAAATTTTCATTAACTCGGGAACTTTCAGTGAAGTTTTTCATATAAGCGTATAACGTCATCAAATCATACAGCGAGTTAAAAATATTACAAAACATTTTTCATTTGACCTAGAAAAAGAAGTTACCTTACAACATCTAGAATTTCTTGACCTTCACTATAGCCAGACACTTCTCGTAATGGCCACAAGAAAGTAAGTGGTTCACCACCAAGTGGACTTGCTAGTTTCAACTGTACCCGTTGTTCTTCGAGACATATCGGACTTGCCGAAAGCTTCGAACGGCTCGATGACCGTGATGAGGTAGATTCTTCAGAGTATTTGGAAGTGGACGGATCCGGATCATGGCCTGTTGTATCTTTTTCCTCCTCGCTCATTATTTCCGGGCTTCCTGTATACTTCTTAGCTTCGCTTCAACCGGAATGAAAACAAGAGAGTAGAAGTGTTGATCGCGGAGCGATATATTCACAAGTAGCACGTAATTCACTAGCTCAGCTAATAAAGTACACATGTCCACATGAACTTTTCATTTTAAGAAATCTGAAAAATAAATGGTAACTTTTCAAATTTTTCAATGAAATTTATTGGTTGGGAAGTCACGCAGAACTGTGATATTTAGGTAAAATTATGCAATTCTCATAAATTTGTCCTTTAGGTCCACGAGTTAGCTGTTAAACCTCGGCTTTAATGACGTACATTACTTCCATGATATCATAGTTCAAGTAATCAATGATGAGTTACGGCTGAAAAATCCGTGACTAGAAACGTATAAAGTACTGAAGTCATGATCATCAGCCTAAATATCGAGGTATGACTCGAGAACAGGAATATCAAGCGAATTCCTAGATAATGCCATTCTTAGCAGATACCCAGGATTCATTAAATGGAAAGAAAGTGAAAGGTAGTAGAAATTAAAAGAATTCGTTCCCATTAAATAGAGCGGAATTCTTTATAACGTAGTCCATAATTAAAAGATGTCAAGAACAAAAATACCTGCTAACTTCCTATTCGTGTGCCTAAGATCGCAAAAATAAACTAAGTTCTGCACCAAAAATTCCTCAGACTAAAATCAACTAGTCAAAGTTAAGCTTATGAGTTTACGATCTTTCTTCGTACTCAGACGTCAATACTTCTTAAAGTATCATCCTGAAATGCATAATTCATTTAAACTCTTCTCTCATAATAGGATATGAACAATACGATTCTACTGAAAAAGAGCTCAAGGAAGATCGTCTACATCAATAGATCAATTAGTACTGAAAAGATTTTCTTCAAGGCAAAATGCATAGTCTGTTTCATTCAGATTAACTTTTGAAACTTATCTTCGCATAATATGTTTATTTTCGGATGCCTTTCCAGGTAAGACTTGTGATAATTAGTACAACGGCAGTAATCAAACATATCACAACAATGATAAGTAATAAAGACTTACATTCGTTTAACACACTAGTCAAATAATGATATCAGGTGAACAATGAAGTAATCATGTCGCTGTTAATCGCATGAAATAAAGAGTAAAACATTTAAAATGTCTCGAGATAACTCTCCATCATTTTTTAGAATATTCTCAACTCCTTCATTTGAGATCTGAGATTTCTCGAAAAACATTTCATGATAAAATCCGGAAAAAAAACGAAAGAATGAAGAAGAGGGTTAAAAATAATCGCATATAACTTATCACACACATTTACATTTTTGTTGATTCATTTTGTTTGCATTATCTTGTATTTTGTAAGATAATAATTGGATAAGAATTAGCTAAAATTTTAAAATACTCTCAAAAAATAAGCAATAATTCATTCATTCATTAAATGTGAAGTAATTACAATGAGGCAAATCGATTGACCGAAAAAAGGCTGCAATGAAAATCATAACCCCTGAGGGTAATTCTTGTCCATAAATAACGGCCCGCGATAATTATGCTTTACGATGCCTTTCAATCTTACTGCTACCATCTGTGAATTGAAAATTTTAATCAAAATAGGAAATAAATTTTAAACCGTTACTGAAAACATAAGAAATCTCACTTCGTGTAGCCTACGTAAAAGTGAAATATAGAAGTAAAAAGTAAAAGTAAAATATCGAAGTTGGAGAAAAAAAAGAAGTCGAAAAATACTTCCATAAGTTTAAACTTTATTCCACACATATATATAGGTTATCATAGATGTAATGATATAAATAGCAAACACATATCATTAACGTTTTTGACGTGAGAAAAGAGAGTGAAAAGATTTCAACTGTAATGAATGTAAAGAATGGGAGAATGCTCGAAAAATTCCTTACTCTAATCGACCGATTTCCTTCTTCAGTAAAAAGCCAAGTGCGAAATGAGAATCGACGTGTATGTCTGTCTCTGCCTGCGTGTATGTGACAGACAGATAGACAAATAAACACATACGCAGCATGCAAAGGCAACACAAGAAAGCATAGCAATCAATGAAATTCACTTTGGTCTCATTTTGTTGTTTGCATTGCTCTCTGTGTGTGTTCATGGCAAATTGATGCTATACATACATACATACACACACATACACACATACATACATACATGCATACATACATACATACA